TATGTGCGTGTGTGCGTGTTTGTGTACGTGTGCACGCCCTTGTGTGTGTGTGTGTGCGTGTGTGCGCCTGCGTTGGACTAACAAAATAGTTTCTGAAAACAGAGAGCTACTCAGATGAAATATTAGTTAATGAGAAAAAAGGACGCAAATAACACAAGCCTCTCAAAATATATGGAAGCTCAAAAACACAAACCAAAATCTGATTGTGGCTCAAAACCGACATATCTCAAAGCTCTCCTCGTTTATTTTTCTCATTTTTCTTCTTTTTTTTTTAATTTCTTTTTTCGTAAAGACGATGAAACAAATATAAAGAAAGGCCAATGTTCATACCATGTTGAAGCCATCTGAAACATCAACAGTGAAATCAGCTTTAAAATGCTTCGTGCATCATTTGTTCCAAAAAAAGCGCTTTGATTAAAGCAAACCTCCTAGAGACTTTTCACCAATTTAACAATGAACAAACGAACGTTCATCCAGAATTCAACACCCAGGTGTGGGCTGGTATTGAACTCGCAGAGCTGTGGCTCTGGATCAATACCAGGCCACAGCATTGGTTAACCAAAAAACCTTTGAGACTTGATTTAAAGGGAAATAACTGAGACATCCGGAAGAGGCATGGAACGTGGAACTATAACAATCTGTCCCGCTGGACGAAATAAATTGTTCGGTTCGAAAATTCCAATCACCTGAAGAAAGCTGGAGCGTACAACGGCCGAAACGTTATGAAAATGGTAATGAAGATGAGGATAACCGTCCGAATAATGTAAATAATACAAGTCATAATAATACCTCTTCTCAGAGATATAGACAGATATTAAAATCCTTAATTGCTAAATTATTTAGAAAGGACAATCTTAAGTTCAAGGGAGATAATCAAATATAAATTAATATTACATTGAATGGTTATTTTATTTCTTTATATGTCGTTTTCCCTCAGGGCGTAGACAATCACGGCTCATCACTAGTTTCTGTTCCTTGTACCTCTTCATAAACTTTATCTTTCTGTTATTTCTCCTATGCCATATTCCGCCATCCATTTATTCAAGCTCACTAAAATATGTTATGCGTTGTTTTCCTCTGTCCCTCCTGCGTTTTATCTATCCCGTGAGTATCAAATTTACCAAGCCCTCCATCCTCATTATATGCCTCAGTAACCTCAACTGTGTCTTTCTGATAATAAGTATTTGTTTCTTTTTTCTTTCCTTTTTTCTACAAAACATCGTCGTTCACATGATCGGTCCACGTTATCCTCAGCATCCTTCTGCAGAAACACATTTCTGTTGCTTCAAGATTCCTCGCAGTTTTTAGGGTCAGTTTCTTTTTCACTTTGCTATAGCTGCCATCCCCAACTTCTTCTAAATGTCTCATGTCCCCTCAGGACATAGGTAATCATGGTTCTCCAAACTTCCTGCTCCTTGCAACTCTTAATAAACTTTATCTTTCTGTTATTTCTCCTAAGCCCTGTTCCACCATCCATTTCCTCAAGTGAGTAATTGTTATCTTATGTGTTGTTCTCCTCTGTCTCTCTTGCCTTCTATCTGTCCTGTGAGTATCAGATTTTCCAAGCCCTCTTGCCTCATTATGTGCCATAGAAATCTCAACTGTCACTTCCTGATGTTAAGTATTAGTTTCAAATTTCCCCAAAACTTTGTTGTTCACATGATCGGTCCACGTTATCCTCAGCATCCTTCTGCAGAACCACATTTCTGTTGCTTCAAGTCATTATCTCTGAGGAGACCGTCCAGCCCTTACTGCCATACAGGAGGACAGATATCACATAGTAGTTTAGTACTTTTTCCTTGTTTCTATCGAAATTTTTCTAGTTCTTAGTACTCTGCTTAGCTTTTAGAATGCTTCTTTGGCTATCCCAATATTCTTTCGGATTTCAGTGTCACTATTTCCGTCTTTTCCTAAGGCCTTCATCAAATTTGAACGAATCAAGAATATTACCACCTCTACTCCTTATTAGCTTCAAAGATACGTTGGTTTCATGAAGGGGCCTATCAGCATTCCAACCATTAGGGACAACCGATGTAGCTCTACTTTCATCACTAAAATCATTATTGAGAAGCATTTTCCCAAATTAATATTTCGTTTTTTGAGGATTACTTCTACATCTACGTCTCATGTACCTTCATAACTCCACAAAATCATTTCTCTTGCTTCAAGTCTCCTTTTCATCTTTGAGATGATCGTTCAGCTTTTCCATTTTAACAAATTTCAAGATAACATTAAAGCAAATTTGAAATAGAGTAGAATCCCTCATATCTGGATTGCCTCATGTCAATAATCTCTCATATCCGGAATCCCTCATATCCGGAGTGTCTCATATCCGGAATCCCGCATATCCGGACAGGATTGTGATGTGGATATTTGAACTGTTTGGGTGATATGTAAACTGATCTGAAACTTATGTTTTTCAGGATATTTACTTTGGATAATTGCTTATACTTATTTCCTCCTAATGGCTTGTATTGATGCAAAAGATGATGGGAATAATAGGAAAGGATGACAACGAGACACATCTGCAACAAGATAGCGACGAGATGCATGATTGTGGCGAAACTTGGACTGAAATTGAAAAATCTATTAAAAAGGTTGTCAGTTTTATGGAAAGAAAGCCAGCATTCAACTATAACGATTGCAATAACGCACGCAAAGTTAAAAAAATTATTTTGTTTAAAAAATTTGAAGAACAAGAGCAAAACGAATTGCGGAAAAAATTGAGAATGGTATTAGAAGAGAAAGAATCATCATGCAACAACGATTAAAAAAATCCTTGTCACATTATTTGTTTTGCATACGTGGCATACTTAATTTAATGAATTTTCATTAACATTACATAATTTATTTTTTTTTCCTTAAAATCAATTCCGTTATATTTCGCTCACTATTATCTTATTTTGTTTGCTATAAAATATTGAAAATAAATGTTAAAACTGATTTCAGTTCTTTTATTTTAATCTAAAAATAGCCCCTCCTATCCGGAACCAATTCCTCATATCCGGAATCCCTCATATCCGAAATCCCTCATATCCGGACTTTGTAACCAGTTGCTCATATCCGGAAGGCCTTCTTAGTCTAGTTGTCAGGGATTCTACTCTATTTCGATAATTATGAAAATATGTTACAGAGGAATGAATTGAGCAAATGCAGTTGGCGCTCATCCGCTTTCCTTGGCATACGGTTGCCACAAAACTTATTTCTTTATTAGACCAATATCCACGAAAGCCAATAGAATAAAATAAACTTGTATTTACAAAAATGACATAGAATCAAGATATTTGCTGAGGATTTAATTCAGAGAAATTTGACTGAGTTTAGAATATAAGATGGCAAAATCAGCATTCTAGATTTTATGTAGGCCCAAACAGCAATCGCCTTTGCTGATAACAAGTACATCACTCTCTCAAGCATCAAATACCTTCATCGTATTTAGCTTTAGACGAGACATGGGTAAATGGGGGAAGGAAGAATAATAGGTTACTCTAACTTAGGAGTTCCCAACCGATTCTGCGCCATGCTCCACTTTGGTATTTCTAAAATTCTCGTGCCACCTGTAATATTTAATATTCACCTATTCAAAGTTTTACTGCAGTTCACGTGAAGGAAGCTTAAAAGGACAATAACTTGGTCTCTAAACAAGCCTCCAAAAACATGGCGTCCATGAAAGAGAATTTTTTTTAAATACAGTTATATATATAGAAAGAGAGAGAGTTTCAAAATATATGATAGAGAAATAGAGAAAGGCAGGAATAGAAAATATTTGAATGAAAGCTTTTTTCTGTAATATAATTTGATTATTTTAATCATGAAATAAAAATGCAAAATGAAATCTGAGCTCACGTTGTTATAGTAAGCCGAAGGGTGCACATCCTACGCATGCATCTACCATCTCCACCGGTGGGGTATGCGCCCCACGTTTAGAATCATTGCTCTAATATTTCTACTAGCCTTGAAAATCAGCATTCAAAGTACTGGTTTTAATTAGGTTCGAAAATCGACTATTGGCGTCAGAAATAATTACATTTCTATATCAGTCACTGTTAGAGTTTTGAAATTTATTCAGCTTAGACAGTTATGTGCCATACGTGATACACGCTTATCTTTCGATACATGACTGACTAGGCACAGTTTTCTTCCGCAGTAGGTTGCCATTTCTTTCTGCTGTAGACCAGTTATCATCCGAGGCAACCCGGTATAGCTGGGGTGGTGGTGGGGAAGAGTTTTCATACCTTTCCCAAGGGTATTAGCACGTGAATGAATGTAATGAATTCGATTGGAATTCGAAATCGGTTCTCCGATTCCTCAATCCGAGCCACTATCCTCGTCTAAGCTTAGTAGAAAGACCGAATGTAAATAAATATCGGAGGAAGATTGTACTGCGCCACTCATTTAAGTGGCGAAGGTCCGCTTTCATATTCGACATTCGATATCAGGGCCTTAACGGGGCTCGAACACCTATCGATTTTGTTTCTGGCATATGCCGTAGACTCCCTCTGTCTTTTTTACAAATACTTTCAGAGTAACTGCTCCGATGAGCTGCTTTCGCTGATTCCCAGATTTCTCGCCTGTGGAACTCCCTCCCCAGTTCTTGTTTCCCTGATAGCTATAATCTCCAACTATTCAAATGTAATGTCAATCGACGTCTCCAGTTGATTTGATCTATCCCCTATCCTTCTCTTCATCCTTTCCTCTATCACTCCTATTTGCTCTAGCTCCAACTCTCTGTAACCCCTTGTGTGCTAGTGGCTTCCCGCCATGCTTGGGGTTGAATACTTAAAAAAATATGCTATTTTCTCGGCTACAAAATAGACCACAAAGTTATATTCAGAATGAAATAAATTCAATAAATGATTTAAATTACACTGTGTCATAAACAGTTGCACAGATGTGTTTTTTTTTTCTCGCGCATGCGTTGATGACATCGAAGACAAAACAAAAAAGAAACACTGGAAGGCATACAATGCTTTGTATAACGTCCTTCTGCGTTGACATTTATGCTAATTACTATAAACAGAGTCGCCATATTGTCGTTTTCCTTGGTGTCGTTGCAATTTGACGTTTGACATTTACACGCTAATTTGAAATCAAAATAATACCAGCTGATGGAACCGACTAATAGCAAACGAAGCAGGCGATAAATGATTCATTATTTCAACACGAATTCACGATACATGCGGCTCAGGAAAACATAATTATTTATCAAGAAATAAGTATGGTTTTTAGAATTATTTAAATAGAAAGTTCTTCCAATAGTAACTTCAAAATTAAAAATATCTTCATCATCCGAAAAGGAATATATCTATATTTTTTTTAATTTCGGCGCTCATAATTTTGATTCATTTAATTACACCTTTCTGTTTTCATCTATCTCTCTATTCAATTCTGTTCAAATCTCTATTTATTTATTCCATTCTGTTCATATCTATCTATCTATCTATCTATCTATCTATCTATCTATCTATCTATCTATCTGTCCATCTCTCAGTCTGTTCATATCTCTCTATTTATCTACTTATCTCTCTCTATTTCAGTTTGTTCATATCTATCTATCTATCTATCTATCTATCTATCTATCTATCTATCTATCTATCTATCTATATCAGTCTGTTCATATCTATCTATATATCTATTTCAGTTTGTTTATTTATATATATATATATATATTATATCTATTTATCTATCTCTCTTCATATCTCTCTCTCTCTATATATATATATATATATATATATATATATATATTTCAGTTTGTTTATATATATATATATATATATATATTTATCTATCTCTGTTTATATCTATCTACCTATCTATTTCAGCTTGTTCATATCTAGCTATCTATCTATATCTATCTATATATCTATTTCAGTTTGTTTGTTTATATCTATCTGTTTATCTATCTCTGTTCATATCTATCTATCTACCTATCTATTTCAGTTTGTTTATATCTATCTATCTATCTATCTATCTATCTATCTATCTATCTCTGTTCATATCTATCTATCTATCTCTGTTCATATCCATCTATCTATCTATCTATCTATCTATCTATATGTTTAATCATTTCACCCTAAGCAAGACAATAAATCCTCTAGGACGCAAGGCGGTTATTTAGTGTTAGAGAATATGAGAGAAACTACAGTTAATTGCAGCTGACAATAAAAGCTTAATAATTAAGATGGCAGAAGATGAAGATTGACAATGCATTTAAATTTTTGAAGATCAAAGCCTAACTGGGACGACGGAAGAGAGTTCCTCAAGTGATAAATGCGATAGAAAAAGCTGTTAGCACAGAACTTACGTTTACATCTATTGATTTCATTTATAAAATGATGAGACTTTGCCGCTAAACTAGTACAAGATTTAGGTTTTACAGTGGAAAGTTCATCAAAACAATTGCCATGAAAGTATTTACAGAAAAGGCAGAGAGGGAAGGTACGTTACGACGATGGGAAAGAAGCCGAGATGCCAGGATAGAACCAATAACATTGCAGATTATTCTATGTATTTTATCAAGGATATCTAAATATATAACAGGAGGACCAGACCAAATATGACAACAATATTCAAAGCAAGGAAGTGTGGTTGACTTAAGTTAGAGAAAACAAATTGTCAAACACGACATAGTGAACCAACTTTCTTAGCTGCAGACTTAGCAATTGATTCAATATACTCTTTCCTTTCTCTTTCTGTCAGCTTAACATTAATCCGAGAAGACGCAATAAGACAATCTCTTGAAGGTTAGCATCGGCCATGCTGATAGAATATAAAAAGGCAGTCTCTTAGACGATTAAAAGAGTGTTTTTTTTGTTTTTTGAGGTGTTAAAATTAACAAACCACTCCTTGCCCCTTTTAACAACAGATGGTAGGCCATTTTTAAAAGACCATATATATATATATATATATATATATATGCGTGTGTGTGTGTGTGTGTGTGTGTGTGTGTGTGTGTGTCCAAGAAGGGAACTGATGACATCAGGAAGGTCATTTATGAGAATTAGAAACAACGTAGGTCCAACTATCTATCTATCTATCTATCTATCTATCTATCTATCTCAGTCTGTTCATATCTATCTCAGTCTGTTTATATCTATCTATCTATCTATCTATCTATCTATCTATCTATCTATCTGTCTGTCTATCTATCTAATTCACAGTCTACACCAATCACATGCTGCCGGTCTACATATATCATTCCAGCTCACAATGCTTATATCTATATAATAAGTTCAAAATAATCACAAGAAAATTGGTTTTAACTCAATCATGTTGGCCACATTTTCAAGATATATATATTTTTTTTTTATACTAAATGCATCTTGTGAATTTCAGAATGTAATATCTGTCTTTACAAACATTTCCAATATTTGTCGGTATGAGATTTTATTGTGCGACTGGAGAATTGTTCGCCATATTGTAAATATATATAACAGCATAGTTATTGATATTTTCATTTTATTTTCGGAAGTGTAAAGAGTGCCATTGCTTGTACGAAAGATAAAAGCTGAAAGGAAAAACGATATATTGTCACCGAGTACGCAACTGCGACAAACTTATACAAAGAACGGAATGAAATTGAATATATTGACAAGATAAGAACAAGGAATAATTGGCTTTAGGAATGGCACAAAAAGAATCTTAAGAAAATCTAAAACGTTAATAAGTCGGAAAAGATGGCTGATTAGAAAAAATGATTTGAAGAAGCAGGTGCTGCGAATGAAGACAGAAAAAAAATTAGAAGAATGAGCATACTGGTTAAAAACAAGAAAGCAATCAAAGAAAAATCTTTAAATGTCAATCAATTGAGCGAAGTAGTACATGAAAACTTAAATTATAAAAATTAATTTTTAGACATGTATTTAGAACTAAATTAAATTGACCTAGTGAATGGCTTAAATAAGAAAATATCACAATTGTTGTAAAGGAATGTTCCACTCTCCCTATTACCTATTGTGGACTGACTATATCAATAGCTATATATAGTATGCACAGGACATAGGCTGACCATTTGTCTGTCTCACTGGCCACATAACGATCAGGTAGTTAGCCAGTTATAGCTGACCGCGTGCTCAGCTCTTAACTGTTGTCGAACTCTCTGCCTTCTGGCAGAAAAGGGAAACCGGACGAGGCTACGCCGAAGGGTAGAGTCTCGTTCGGGGAGGTTGTCTGACCCTGAACCCGTTTTTATACGGGTTCAAAGAATATTTTTGGCCGAGCCTTCGGGCTCGAAGAACCCACGTTAAACCCGCCTTGTGCCACATGCAACCCTCGTGGGAGTGGTAGCTAAATATACTATCTGTCTGTCACACTGGCCACCTAACGATCAGGTAGTTAGGCAGCTAGAACTGGCCGTGTGCTCAGCACTTAACTGTTGTCGAACTCTCTGCCCGAAGGCAGAGAGGAAGCCGGTCGAGTCTCCGCCGAAGGGCAGAGTCTCGTCCGGGGAGGCAGACAAATCTAAGCCCGTTTATATGGAGTCCGCAGGGAATTGACCGAGCCTACGGGCCCGTATTTGCCCTATATTAAACTCGACCTTTTGCCACATCCTACCTCGTGGGGAGGTCGGTAAACATTACTGTCTGTCTCTCTGACTGGCTTCGGAAAGTTTTAGTCGATTCCCTGTCTCCCAATAGTGTATTCTCTTTTACAATAAACTTTTCTTCCTTCCATCTACACTCGTGTTGATGTTCCTTCCACTTGAGTACCACCTTTGTCTGTTTGGAACCTTTTTAAGGATACAACAACCACTTAGAAGGCAAAAAGGATGAGGAAGAGTAAGGATTTGCGCTAATATTATAAGCAATGTAATTAAATTTCTCTTTAAATTTGATAACGATGCAAATTAATGCATACATTTAATGATTGCCCTTTTAATTTTTCCAGATTAGTTTTGAATTCAAGAGTATCTTCACGCTAGACTTAGCGTTTTCATATTCAGTAAATCTTGTTACTGCACGGCAAGGGAAAACATTATCCATCCCAAACTCGTCAATAAAGCCACTAAGACGCAAGGAGTTACTGAGTGCGAGAGTACATAAGAAAAAGTAAGGAGAGAGAACAATAAAAGAACAGGAATTAAGAAGACAGACAGAAAATAGCAGTGGACATTGCATTTACATTTTTGAAGATCAAAGTTGACTGCAAAGTAGGAAACTAGAAGAGAGTTCCACGCGCGAGAAGAGGGAGGGAAGAAAACTGTTAGCATAGAAGTTACGGTTTTAACTATAAAATTGTGAGACCTAACTGCCAATCCAGTAATGCGCTTAAATTCATAAAGTCTAGGTAACAGAGAGGAAAAGCTCATCAGAACAATTACAATGAAAATATTTATATAAAAAGGGAAGCTACGTTACGACAGTGGGAAGAAACTGAAGTCGAGTTGCCAGGTCAGGATCAATAACATAGTAGATTTTTGTTTGTATTTTATAAAAAAAAAAATATCTACATATATAGCAGATGCTCTAGAAAAAAATGTAACTGCAATATTCATGGTTTGAGTAAGATAGATTCTGGTGGCGAGATGAATTTTCTAGCGTAACACAGTGAGCCATCTTTCCTAGCAGAAGACCTAGCAAGTAATTCAATACAATCATGTGACTTCACGTCAGCGGAAAACGTTAGCCCGAGAACGCGTAATATGCCATTCTCCAGGAGCTTAGCATCAGTCATACCGATACAAGGTAAAAAAAGGCTCTTTAAGACGATTAAAAGAGAGCAGTTTGTTTTAATGCCATTAAAATTAACAAGCCATTTCTTGCCCAAATTAACAACAGATTTATGTCGTTTTTTCAGATTTGCTGCAGATTTGACCGTATGGAATCGATCAGACTTACTATTAAGTAAATAATTGTGTCATCAGCATAGATACTGAGTTGAGAACTAATGACATCAGGAAGGTAGTTGATGAAAATATAGACCCTCCCTTGTTTGGTTTGGTTTATTTTCTTTTACAGCATATCAACCTCAATGGGTTATTTAATGCTGACAACATTTTTAGGATAGATTCGTATGAATAGAATATGTATTCCTTGGTTTAGATTGGTTTGGTTTATTTTGTTTTACGGCATATCAACCTCAATGGGTTATTTAATGCTGACAACATTTTTAGGATAGATTCATATGAATAGAATATGTATTCCTTGGTTTAGATTGGTTTGGTTTATTTTGTTTAACGGCATATCAACCTCAATGGGTTATTTAATGCTGACAACATTTTTAGGATAGATTCGTATGAATAGAATATGTCTTCCTTGGTTTAGATTGGTTTGGTTTATTTTGTTTTATGGCATATCAACCTCAATGGGTTATTTAATGCTGACAACATTTTTAGGATAGATTCGTATGAATAGAATATGTATTCCTTGGTTTAGATTGGTTTGGTTTATTTTGTTTTACGGCATATCAACCTCAATGGGTTATTTAATGCTGACAACATTTTTAGGATAGATTCGTATGAATAGAATATGTATTCCTTGGTTTAGATTGGTTTGGTTTATTTTGTTTTACGGCATATCAACCTCAATGGGTTATTTAATGCTGACAAAAATTTTAATTGCTGGTAATATTTGGTTTTGTCAAAAATCTGTTTCTGGTAATATATTTCCTTCAAAATTGTATTGCTAGTAATAATTTTTTCCAGAAAGTATTGCTGGTAATAGTTAACAATTTGCCCGTAGCTGGGACCCCAGCAGGTGTTACCACTCCGGGTCAGGGTGAACCTGGGAACACCAGCAATTAAGAGGTGGTTCTACGCTCCTCAAGACCTACTAATCAGAGGCCTTGTTGCTGGTCGTAGTTTCCCGTTTTACCCAGGACGCGGATGTAGTTTAACGTCTTACCCAGGACGCAGACCCTCCCGGGGGCGTTGGCACCTGTATACATGCCAAAAGATCTAGAAGTGTGTTTCAAAAACATAAAATTAATGCAAAGATTTTCCAAATAAAAATTCAATAGGAAACTTGGGGTAAATCTTTAAAAGAAATATATATGAGAATAGAAAGAATTATTCAAGCAAAATTCTTTTTTAAATTCTATATATATTATAATTCCAGAGTAGAAGAATTAATGAAATTGAGATATGAAATTTAATAAGGTTTATCGAGTCTCAATGAAAAAAAAAAGTGTTTTGCAATAAGTTGTTCCTGTATATTGAATATTGTGTTCATCAAATACATTTTTCTCAGGTCTTTTTTTTTTTTTTCGATCTGTTTATGAATAAAAATTTATGTATACTTTAAATAAGAAAAACATGTATCCACAAAATAATATTCATCTTTTGTAATGATTTAGTATCTTAGAAGCTAAGATTATTATTTTATTAATATTAATATTTTCTCTATCAATATATATACATATATATATATATATATATATATATATATATATATATATGTGAGTGTGTGTGTGTGTGTACTGGTTCCATGTAGCTTGGGAAAATGTATATATGTGTGTGTGTACTGACTACTTGTGGTGGGATAGTGTGTATGTGCGTATGTGTGTGTATGCGTGTATAAGTACAAATAAGTTTACGAATTCCTCGTAGTAAGGAAATATACGCACGCATATATACACGCATACTGACAGGAACACGCCAAAATAGAAACAGATCCAAGAGCACATACAGGTCACTAAAACATTAAAAGATTAAATGCCGATAACTACTCGCTGGACAAACCTTAATTGTTTTATGACCCTTCACGCAGAACTCTTCATTGACAATTCTAGAAAGAAAATTCGGATTGCCAACACACAAACAGAATGTCTCATATCGAGAATATTCCACATTGAACATGAAGAAAATTAATTATTTTTAATAATATGTAAAAATCTCCACTTTCACCTGAAGACGGTTGCGAGACCAGACCAGAAACACGTGTCGTGAAATTATGTAAAACAAAGTATAATATTTTTTCTCAATAAATCCACATTACAAACAAAAAACGTTTGCGGCACCCTCTTTTTTTATATATATATATATATATATATATATATATATATATATATATATATATATATTAACTTTTACTTAAAGGTTGTGTTTTACATTCTTTCACGTCTTTTGCATATTTTCTCTCTCTTTACCGGTTTCTTCAAGTATTTTCTATTAGTCAAACAAATAGTGATTATAATATGTCATAATGAATTTCTTAATTAAAGTGTAGTTAAAGTTTTTTTTTTTTATATCGGACATTTTTTTTGTTTTTATATATTTTATATATTATAATATATGTTATATTTT